AGGGTTGGGTTGGGTGAGGTTGGGTTGGGTTGGGTTGACGCTAGGGTGGTTAATCTGCAATGAAATCAGTTGTAAGGGCGAATCTTCAGTCACTATGCTCTATACACCTCGACAGTTGGTCACTAGAATTAATTTTGTTCACAACTTTACGACTAATTAGGTGAACAAGTATTTTTTTTTTTCTGCTCCGACGGCTGTAAAGATTTTTGTTGCCGACTATAGGTGGCGGCGGGTGACACGATAGGTTACACCCGAAGGTCACAAAAGTCCAATACTTGTATAATAAAATTCTTAATAAACAAAAGTGTGTGTGTGTGTGTGTGTGTGTGTTTGCTGTCCATTGTCCAGCCACCCACAGTACTGGTGCGGAAGGTGCTGTGTTTTAGTGAGTGAGAACATAACAGCACCGTGTTGGAACCACCGTAAGTGAAATCCACCTCAGGAACACACACACACACACACACGTCACCAACAGCCATTTCCCCTCCTGTAGGTGTCCACAAACGATGTCTTGTTGCCCCTCAGTCTACTTCAGATCTTATCTCAGGAGGACTCTCTTTTTTTTTCCTGAGGTATTTAATCTTTTCACTGTCCTCTCAGCGGTTAGGGAGACGTTTAGGACTCGCTGATTTCGCCACTAAATCTTCTGAGACCTTTTGTGAATATTTTAAAGTGGATTTTGTTTTATATTGTTAGTTATTAGATGTTTTTTTAGTATATTTTAGCGGTGAGGAGGATAGGTAAGTGTAGTACCGTTAGTAATGTGTGTGTGTGTGTGTGTGTGTGTGTGTGTGTGTGTGTGTGTGTGTGTCTGGCAGAGGGGGCTGCGTGAAGTGGCCATCCAGACCAACCACCATCATCACGCTGACAGTCCCACTACCCACGCTACTTACTACCTTCCATCCACGCTACTTAGTCTCCCCCTCCTCCTATACGGAACACACCACCCACTCACAGGGGTTAAGTAACATCCATTAACCCTTATCGTAGCCTTTGTCAGCCCTCGGCGCCCCTTCTGCTCGTTTTAAAGAAGGAGGTTTTGTCAGGGAGGGGTGATGGTTAGGCACAGGCGGGGTGGGGAGAATATATGGTGACAGCCTGAAGAACCCTTATGCTAATTATAACTTATACATACATACATACATACATACATACATACATACATATTCAGTCGTACTAGTTTACATTTCTTCGTCATGTACCTAAATACAGATATACATAATACATAGCGAATGTATATAATGTATGAGAGACATCACAGGTATACCAACAATATTACCGGTCCTATAACACTCATATAACGAAAGGTAATTCACGATAAGATTTTTATTTTACGATTAGAAGTTTTAGAAGGAAAAAGCCACAGAGGAGAGTGAAGGTCAAGATCAGATAATATTATACACGTTTATTGAAAGAGCGATAAGAAGACTCAGAGGAAATAGTATATTACGTCGTGGTTTTGATGTGTCGGGAGCAGTGAGGGCGTGTACTGGTACGTCACTATGACTCACTAACCACGTGGGTAAGCTTAAGTCAATACATTACTAAGTTATTGGTGTTATTTGATGCAGAAATTATAAACTGTGAGGTGAAGATGATGGTAGTGTGACGGTGGTCCTTGTTGCGTCACACCAGCTGAGAACAACAGGGTGAAGTTCAGAGTTCGTTCCTCGTCGATGTTGAATTGTTCTTCGTGTTTGATTGTGTGTTTGTGATTGTTTGTTGTGTGTTGATTGTATTATGATGTATCGGTTGTGTGATATAGATTGATTGTGTTCAGCATTAAATGAATAGGCTTTTTCACACACACACACAGACACACACACACACACATACACACACACACACACACACACACACACACACACACACACACACTGTAATAACAGGCCGCCCACACGTAATAATATGAGAACTGAAAGCAAATGAAATAAACATGGTTACAACACACACACACACACACACACACACACACACACGAAAAAATAGGTACACAGGCATATATAATAATGTTTTGAAGTTTGACATCACTAGTAGAGGCAAAACGTGATTCACAACACTCCACAGACTGCCCCTTCCTCCCTCCCTTCCTCACACCTCACAGCACCACACCATCCACTACCGTATATTTATTAGGTAACATAACAATAAGGCTATCAGGCACCTTTAATTCACCAGTGTAACAAGGTAAAGGTATAGATGGAGAATTTACACTAGAAGGAGCTGCCTGCTTGAACTAGTATCAGAGGCGGACGCGAATGAGGACACTATGTTCTGCCAGACGCCCACCGCCGAGTGTAGCCTCTAACTTACTCTCTTGAAAGCAGGATGTAACCTTGCAACTCTTATTAACAACATCACTCTTCATGCATCTGTCGAGTTCAATAATAAAATAGTCTTATGTGATCTTTGCACATGAGCCGACGTAATTGAAAGGCTGAATCTTGTGTTTGTGTCCCCAGGGTATGTGTCCCCAGGGTATGTGTCCCCAGGGTATGTGTCCCCAGGGTATGTGTCCCCAGGGTATGTGTCCCAAGGGTATGTGTCCCCAGGGTATGTGTCCCCAGGGTATGTGTCCCCAGGGTATGTGTCCCCAGAGTATGTGTCCCATGTGTCCCCAGGGTATGTGTCCCCAGGGTATGTGTCCCCAGGGTATGTGTCCCCAGGGTATGTGTCCCCAGGGTATGTGTCCCAAGGGTATGTGTCCCCAGGGTATGTGTCCCCAGGGTATGTGTCCCCAGGGTATGTGTCCCCAGAGTATGTGTCCCTAGGGTATGTGTCCCCAGGGTATGTGTCCCAAGGGTATGTGTCTCCAGTGTATTGGCTAAATAGTGTTGCTTGAGTGCCAGTGCCATTTTGTTCCGACCGTGTTACCTTACCTCCCTCACTCCTTACTCCTCGCCACCTCACGACTCACCCCTCTCCTCTCACACCTTATCACTCAACCCTCTCCTCTCACCCTCCTCACCACTCACCAGCTGTGAATTTTACCGACAACTTCCAACATACAGCTGGGTGAACACTTGGCAGGAAACTGTTACTCTAAGTGTTGATGGTAATCTTTACAGTCTAAAAAAAACCCGATATGTTCTAAGCGGCTCTGAGTAGCTACCAGTTCACCCCTCTGGAAAATATTACACTTTCAAGCAGTCAATGTTAATGTATGTAATTATTTATTCATAATATATAATCCTAGGAAAGGCAGAGAGAATTTATTAATGAATGTATGAATTGATGTCTTGGTGTTGATTGATGAGAGGAAGTGGAGAGAGAGAGAGAGAGAGCCACTTGATCTGGGCTTGAACTGTAGTGTGTAATTTGATGACTAGTTGAAGAGACAGAGCAGAGGAGGAGGATAGAGGGTAGGAAGAGGAGGGGGAGTAGGAAGAGGAGAAGAAGGAGGGGAAGAGGAATACGGTGAGGTGGAAAAGGGGAGGAGAAGAAGAAGGAAGAGGAGGAGGAAGATAATCAGAACACCGATGGTATGATAACAGATAAGGAATGATGTGATTATAGTGAACAGAAGCCAAACAATAAATATATGAAAGATCGTAAGAAGAGAAATACAAAGACACTGATAATAGGGAAGAGATATAATATACTCATAAAGGGTGATAAAGATGGAAACAAAAGCCAACGATGATAAAACTAGATATTTCTCCAGAGAACAAAATTACATGAGCAACAACCAGAGATGTACAGCTACTGCCCGGGATGGATTATTATGAATGAGGAGATAACAATACCCACCTGGACTCAACACCTGCAACGGAAACCGAGTTGGACCTTGAACGAGGGTCGAGGTACATCTCCAACGAAACATCCACTAGAGAACTTAAAAACGACAAGTGCCCATGACTAGACAGGCAGAGGTTCAATTGAGTGGAAAAAGAGATGTTTAAATTACTACTGTATGTTCAGTCAACCACAGAAGTCCTTTCGCCGCTACTGAACCACGAACCCCGAGAGTAAAACTCGTAAACCCGAAGCATTTATGGATAGAAGAATGCATCGGTGTCTACTGCTAAAGGTTCACGAGTCTGACTCTCGGAGCTCGTGGTTCAGGAAGAGAGGCGACAGAACTTTTGAAGGTGACTGTACATGTGTATATGCACGACTCGCCTCTAAGATCCAGGCACATGGCATCACAGGCAAGAATCTGAAGTGGATTAACAACTTGTTCGAAGACAGACAACAAAGAGTGGTAATAAATGGAGTACATTCTGGATGGAAAAAGGTTCTCAGTGGAGTACCACAAGACTCTGTCCTTGAACCTATCCTGTTTGTGATCTCCATAGCCGACATACAGTAGATGAAAATATGTCGAACCACATTGTCAAGTTTGCGGACGGCACGAAGATATTTGGGACGGTAGCAAGTCAAGACGATGTTGCAACAATACAGAAAGACTTTCAAGAGCTGTTCAAATGGTCTCGAGACTGGCACAAAAAATGGATGATCACCTGAAAATTAAGCATCCCAGTTCATTTGCCTGAAGGTTTATTACCATAATTCTACCTGGGAGGATTAAATTAGGTTGTAAAGTTAGATTAGGTTAGGTTAGGTTAGGTAAAGGCTACCTTTGTAACAATGGTCAGTGTCACAGGATAAACTTTGATTAAAATAAACTTTGCTGAAGTAAACCAAAGAAAATGCCGGCCATGCTGAGGTAAACTAAGGGAGGGACTGATCATGCTGAGGTAAACTAAGGGAGGGACTGATCATGCTGAGGTAAACTAAGGGAGGGACTGACCATGCTGAGGTAAACTAAGGGAGGGACTGATCATGCTGAAGTAAACTAAGGGAGGGACTGACCATGCTGAGGTAAACTAAGGGAGGGACTGATCATGCTGAGGTAAACTAAGCTGAGGGACTGACCGTGCTGAGGTAGACTAAGGGAGGGAATGACCATGCTGAGGTAAACTAAGGGAGGAACTGACCATGCTGAGGTAAACTAAGGGAGGAACTGACCATGCTGAGGTAGACTAAGGGATACTCACCATACCCAGGACGCCTATGGCCACGACACCCTTCTGGAGGCTGCCGCAGCACCAACAGCAGCGACGCATGACAACTCCTGAGAGGAAGTAGTGGTAGTAGTGCAGGGTGATAGGTTGGGTCCCTCTCTGTTTCTAATTTAGGGCCTAATTCAGCTAACTTCAGTATAATTATGCAGCTATTGTTTCTAGTTAATGATCTACAAGTTATATTCAGTATAATTATGTAGTTAATGTTTCTAGTTAGTGATCTGCTACAGGTAACTTCAGTATTTGTAAATATTTTCGTGCTTTTAAAAATAATTATTATCTTTATTTCTCTGTTATCTTAAGAGAATCCACTAGGGTAAAATCACAAATAAAAATGGTAACTTTTAAATGACGAAGGAAATGAAATTGGGAAATATTGTCTGTAGAAAAAATTTAATTCACCTTAATATAAGAACTATTCAGATTCCTTCTACCCTCAGGCCGTGAGACTCTACCTGTAGCAGTCGCAGAAGAGAAGACGAGCAGCAGCAGGTGGGTGTGCGGGGCTTGTCGGAGTCGAGGTGCGTTGACCAGGACGCACGCCTAATGCAGGAGGGCGCCAGATAGTGATGTCCTTCTTTGGGAGTCACTAGCACTGTTACCACGCCTGAGGTCGGAGGTTAATGAGATAACGTAGCAGCCTACTTGTCCAGACTCACTAGTACTGTACAGGAGAACCTGAAGTGTATCTTTGTGACCACTGATGACCGCACTGTTCAGACACTTACTTCTGTTCTGTATATCGTGAAGGTAAGTAATTGTCTCTCGTTAGTTCACGCGGTTGTTATCTGGTGTCCTCACAAGTAGTGATCAAGATTCCACAATTCTATAAAAAGTTTCTGGGAGATGGGCGTAAGTGCACGTGTTGTCGACGCGGTGGTGAGCGCAGGAGTGGCGCGTCTAGTCAGGCTGCGGGGGAGGCACTGACAAGTTTCCGCCGGGGGGACCGGGTGCCAGAATAGTGCCATTATCACCAGACGTGGCACTAGCATTGAAACGTCGCAGGGGGCAGAGTGGGATGCCAGGTACTGCTGCCTTAACTGAAGATAATCTAGTTTGCTCACAAAGGTGACAGCTCATACAAGTTCAGGTGGACCTATGGAATGTAAACGTGTGTGATAACACCCCACTCAGGTGACGCCCCTGGCTGGCTAACATGATCCTCAGCAAACCATAAATAAACCCAACATGGAGTCTGAGCTGCACAAAATCTATCAAAGGCGCCTGAGATGACCCAGGCGCCACGCACAAGGCGTCGTTCACGCTCAACAAGGGCTGGCCACTCCTGAAGGACGACCACAATTGAATTTTGTTGTGTGACGTCTGGCCGAGCGCTGCTAAAAACAGCTGGTTTATCTGAAGTGCGCGCTGTTGGGCTTTCAATGCCACCCACAGTAAGGCTCAGAACCCCTTGTCACAAGCGGTTAACTAAGCCTTGTGAGACTTCGTTGGTTAGCACGGTCTTCCCTTCTCTATTACCAGTATCAGCGTCACTGTACACTTACCCGATCAACTAAAATAGCTGAGGAATATTGCTCAACCGGAGATGACCTGACCAAGAAACTGTGTTGACCCGTGACACCATGTTGTGCTACACCCCTGTAACACTGTTCTGACACAGACCTGTGACATCATGTATTGACACATAACCAGTGGGTGGTGTGGGATCACCGACCAATTTGGAGCAACACAGACCCCTGGGATTATGCGGGTGATGGCACACCGGTGGCTCATATCCTATACCGTGGTGGTGTCGCCTCTGGTTTGAGTCGTGCGACGCTGCACGTCCACGTTGCTGTTGGGATGATTCAGGCACTTAACACTCTCCATATGTCGGAGGATGGAGGTCTGCAGTTCACAGCTGGGGTACAAAAATACTCCTCTATGCACTCATTCACAAATAACTAACCTCCATCATGCTGTAAGATAACCAGTTTATTTACCATTAAGACAGTCTGGTTAATGCCTCCAGGGAAACACATTATCCACGATACCATCTAGTGTTATATATAAAGCGGACGTTATGAGTGCAGGTCTTTATACTATATGTGAGTTATCTATGAAAGTTGCTTGTGTGAATGAGGTGAGTAGCAGAGGTGGTGTTGGTCCATGTGAGGCGACCACACACACACACACACACACCTTACCTTGATACAGAACACCACTAAGAAAGTCCTCCGGGTCCTCACACCACTTAACTCAGAGTCTTGTTTACAGCCAGACGAGGTCATTAACACCTTTAACATGTTCAAGTTTACTCTGGCCATAGACGTAAACATTACCATGGTTAATAAACATCATTTTACCTCCTCTCTCAATCCATCACCTAACCTAAACCTAACCTAACCTAACCTAACCTAACCTAAACCTAACCTAACCAACGCCCTCGACTCTATCACTATCTATTATACACTTATATACATTAATATACAGAGCGTCACCTTCACAACAAAATATATAAAAATGTTATAGATAAATACTCAATTGTGTGTGTATGTCTTTCTCTCAAGGAGCTACTGAGAGTTTTCTAAGGACATCTCTTAAAAATTTTACATTATCGTTCAATTACTCATTAATTTCCTGAGGCCAAACGTTCAGCTGTGGCTTCCGTGTGTGTTGCCTTCCTCACATGGCCATTAGTGTCCTCCTCACATGGCCACTATTGTCCTCATCACTCATCAATATTATTTTCCTCCCTAGTAAGCCTTTTCCTCCCTAATAGTTCCCTGGTTACTGGGGAAAAAAATGTGTGGGTGCGTAATGCCTTCACTCTGACACCAGTACTGTATATATCCATCCCTGAACGGTGGTGGTGGATCAGTAATAGTGGATCAGCATTGTGGATATGCGGTGGATCAGTCTTATGTGGATCAGTCTTATGTGGATCAGTCTTGTGTGGATTTTATTTTTTAATATAATCAACCACACTGATCCATGAACCTCATCCACACAACCTCATCCATACAACATCATCCACATAACCTCATCCACCAATTTCAACCATACATACATATCCGCATTAATCAGTAGTATTTAAATTATTCTAAACTATTAATCAATGTTAGTTATAGATAATAGACTAAATGGCCAACACGTATTTATTTAAGTAACACACAGGACCAACACACGTGACCTTGCTTTACAGGAACTTTCAGTGCGGCGTAGATTTTCCCCGTGGTCACTTACTACCTCATCTCTCCCTCACGACTTGCTACACACCACCTCACTCCCAAGGGGATTCGCGACCCCCTGGAACTATGAGGCAGGCAGAGGATGTTGATGATAGATACCGAGTTTGTTGTGTATTTGTATTTTATTTATTTTTTTTTGACGTACGGGTGGAAATACGTTGTTGTTTTTTGTTAGTGTAAAAATATCAAGCTTGTATGTCAGGGTGGGTTTTGACGTCAGGGTGGGTTATGACGTAAGAATTAGATGTCAATTATGGTGTTCGTTCAGCCTCTTAACACGCCATAAACACGTTAAGTCGAGGTTCTCCAACAGGGTGGTCTTTGTGGGGTGGTAGAAAGGACCCGCCGTGTCCATATCTCCACCAGGGACTATCTGTCTGTGTCACTCCCTCGGCAGCAGCAGGGGGAGGCAGGGAGAGGGGGGGGGGGCCATGGGAGAGGTGTTGTGATGACCCTGAGAAGGCGTCACCGTCCACCGGTCATCAGCGTCACTGCGGCTCCGTCACCACACACCCACATACACACACACACACACATACACACACATAGATTTTATATTCCAATATTCAGAAGTATTGTCTGAACTCTGCTACAATAGGTTAGTTTCATCTCCGTAGATTCGAGAGTCGGGCAGGATCAAGAGAGCGAGGTCGGGCAAGGTCACAATATCAAAGCCTGGTGAGTGCTGCCCTTGTGTACTACGGTGGGACATTATATGTGTGTGTGTGGGGCACTGGGGAGAACCCTGCCTGTGTTGTGCAGCAGGAGAGTGGCAGACGACACTCCTGCTGGGTACACATCGAGGTCTCTTCACCAGCGTCTTCCGAGAGGCATCTGTGGGTAACATATTTGTAAACAACACGCTGCAATATATTAATGTCTTCCTCACACTACCAGGTATTTTAGAGCATTGTAAGTGAGGTGAGGTTCTTGGAAGAGTGACAAGATGGAGGAGAGAAAAACACGAAAATCAAAGTCTTTCAACAGCTAACGGTATCTAAGGGTCGGGCTGTGATGGCGGCCAGAGGTGTAACTCTCAAACCAATGAGTGATGGCGGCTTGGCGGGTCTCTGTTTAATATCATTATGTCTCGCCGCTACAACCAGAGTGGCATTATATTATTGTTCTGTCAGTGTGTGTGGGGGGAGGGGGAGGGGAGGTGACAAATGTACCAGCATAAGATAGCCATAAAAGGCGTCGAGTAAAGCTCAACACAGAGGACAGAGACGACTCCCAACAAGAACCAACTTTCCCCTCTTCACAACGCGTGTCTTCCGGCTTGTCATGGTGCTGAGTGAGCGAAATGGAGGAACGACACAGACCAGGCTCTCATTATACACACACACGCCCATCCTCACCAATCTTTTCATCAGTATACTTGTTTTAGATCACATGTTATTTATTTTCATTGTTCCTTACACTCAACATAAGCTACATTGAGTTCTTGGAAACGTATATGCGCATTGTATGTTAAATCTATCATCCCGGTGTGTTGTCGTGTCTTACTCGAGGCGCCACCTAGTGTTGCAGAAGAGCGGTGAGCATCAGATAACCGAGTGACAAGTTCGTAAAGGCAAACAAACGATGGGAGAGCCTGAGGTATAGATGCGAAGAGACAGGGGGGAGAGAGAGAGAGAGAAGAGGGAGGAGGGCGAAGAGAGGGAGAGAGAGACGAAGACGAAAAGAGAGAGAGAGAGTAGAGGGAGGCGAGGAAACAAGTCTGATTGAGGAACATTTCACAATAAGACATCACCAGCGACCAACTCATCAACACGACAGAACGAGGGAAAAAAAAACTTCCCCCTTATAAATCCGGCGAAGGATGGCACAAAAGGGCCCCTGACATCACCGCCTCAATGGAAGGTTTTGTCAGGCCAGTAACAACATCAGACAGACCTTACCAGCTAAACAAGGGGTGGTCACACTTCACCTCGTAACGCGTAGCTATGAATAATGTATTAAGGAACAATGTAAGCAATGTCTTGACGTGAGTTAACAGATACTACTCTTCAAGGTTTATTTAAACTCTTGGAAATCTACGTGTCGTGTTTAACTCTAGTGCTCCTGTGTTTTAATGACCACTGATAAGGTTTTAGTAAGTTAGTACAGGATGGTTTAGTATTTATTTACCGAATATAATGGCGTTTATTTACAGGTTTGTTTTGCGTCTATGGGATAATTTATATGTTTACGATTTTTTTTTACAAATTGATAATTATATAGAAACACGTATAGAAAAAATATATGGTAATAACTTTAAGTGAATAGCATTAGTACTTAACTAATCTAACCTACCTTAATTAGCGACACCAAAAACAAAACCATTAACAAAAAAAACAACATTAACAAAAACAACATTAACAAAAACAACATTAACAACAACAACACCTGCAAGACGTGAGGTTAAGACAGACGAACAACTCTTCAGAGACTCAGGTATACTCATTAGCTTCCTCAGTGAGCATCTTGTTGACTCTTGAGATAAACGCCCGTCTTCTGTGATTACTTCCAGGAGACGTGTGGGGGGAGCCTCTGTCTGCGGTACCTGAGAGCTCGTTAATTATGTGACCAGGTAAGTGAACAGGTGAATAGTTAATTAGATGGGGTTGTTTGGGGGGGCGGGGGGGAGTTTGTGGTTCATTAGTATTTATTATCTGGATCACCTGAAGAATCTCCATCCCAGTTCAGTTGGCACACCCTGGAACCCTGGCCACTCAGCCTCCAGTGTAGTGTTAGTCAGGTGGCAGATGGAGGTTAAGGAGAAGATACTGTGAAGGGAGGAAGATAAAGAGGAAGGAGGGAAGGAAGGAAGGAAGAAGGGGAGGATAGAGGGAGCGGGAGCGGGAGAGAAGGAGGGAAGGAAGTGGGGAGGAAGGGAAGGGGTGAGGTAGGGAGAGGAGGAGGTGTGCAAGAGGGGGTGACCACTGGGGTTGAGCGTAAACAAGAGAAGGAGGGTCAACAGGCCGCCGTAACATAACGTGACGCCGCCACCCACCTCCCTGTCAGCCCCGGAAATGTTTGGACGCTATGATGATGATGGT